CACGGACACGGAATGGACACGGACACGGCACGGACACGGACACGGAATGGACACGGAATGGACACGGACATGGACACGGAATGGACACGGACACGGAATGGACACGGACATGGACACGGACATGGACACGGACATGGACACGGACACGGAATGGATACGGACACGGAATGGACACGGACACGGAATGGACACGGACACGGAATGGACACGGAATGGACACAGACACGGACACGGAATGGACACAGAATGGACACAGACACGGAATGGACACGGAATGGACACGGACACGGACACAGACATGGAATGGACACGTCATTCCCTGGATAGATCCCGACCCCCCGGCACACACAGCATGGGATGGGCAGGGTCCCCCACAGCCCTGGGGTGCAAACTGGGAAATGCCCAATTCCCAAATCCAGAACCGTTGTTCCCATTGTTACTCCCGTGTTATTCCCGTTATTCCTGTGTTATTCCCGTGTTATTCCCGTGGCTGTTCCCGTTGTTATTCCCATTGTTATTCCCATTGTTATTCCCATTGTTATTCCCGTTATTTCCATTGTTATTCCCGTTATTCCCGTGTTATTCCCGTGTTATTCCCGTGGCTGTTCCCGCTGTTATTCCTGTTGTTATTCCCATTGTTATTCCTGTTGTTGTTCCCGTTGTTATTCCCATTGTTATTCCCGTTATTCCCGTTGTTGCTCCCGTGGCTGTTCCCATTGTTATTCCCGTGTTATTCCCGTGTTCTTCCTGTGTTATTCCCATTGTTATTCCCGCTGTTATTCCCGCTGTTATTCCCGTTGTTATTCCCGTTATTCCCGTTGTTCCCATTGTTATTCCCATTGTTATTCCCGCTGTTATTCCCGCCGTTATTCCCGTTGTTGTTCCCGTGGCTGTTCCCACTGTTATTCCCATTGTTATTCCCGTTGTTATTCCTGTTGTTATTCCCGTTCTTCCCATTGTTATTCCCGTTGTTATTCCCATTGTTATTCCCATTGTTATTCCCGTTATTCCCATGTTGTTCCCGTGGCTGTTCCCGCCGTTATTCCCGCTATTCCCGCCGTTATTCCCATTGTTATTCCCGTGGCTGTTCCCACTGTTATTCCCGTTGTTCCCATTGTTATTCCCATTGTTATTCCCGTGTTATTCCCGTGTTATTCCCGTTGTTATTCCCGCTATTCCCGCCGTTATTCCCATTGTTATTCCCATTGTTATTCCCGTTGTTGCTCCCGTGGCTGTTCCCGCTGTTATTCCCATTGTTATTCCCATTGTTATTCCCGTTATTCCCGTGTTATTCCCGTGTTATTCCCGTTGTTCCCGTTGTTATTCCCATTGTTATTCCCGTTGTTCCCGCTGTTATTCCCATTGTTATTCCCATTGTTATTCCCGTTATTCCCGTTGTTGCTCCCGTGGCTGTTCCCGCTGTTATTCCCGCTGTTATTCCCGCTGTTATTCCCGTTGTTCCCATTGTTATTCCCGTTGTTATTCCCGTTATTCCCATGTTGTTCCCGTGGCTGTTCCCGCCGTTATTCCCGCTATTCCCGCCGTTATTCCCATTGTTATTCCCGTGGCTGTTCCCACTGTTATTCCCGTTGTTCCCATTGTTATTCCCATTGTTATTCCCGTGTTATTCCCGTGTTATTCCCGTTGTTATTCCCGCTATTCCCGCCGTTATTCCCATTGTTATTCCCATTGTTATTCCCGTTGTTGCTCCCGTGGCTGTTCCCGCTGTTATTCCCGCTGTTATTCCCGCTGTTATTCCCGTTGTTCCCATTGTTATTCCCGTTGTTATTCCCGTTATTCCCATTGTTGTTCCCGTGGCTGTTCCCGCTGTTATTCCCGTTGTTCCCATTGTTATTCCCGCTGTTATTCCCGCTGTTATTCCCATTGTTATTCCCGTTGTTATTCCCATTGTTATTCCCGTTGTTATTCCTGTTGTTATTCCCGTGGCTGTTCCCACTGTTATTCCCATTGTTATTCCCGTTGTTGCTCCCGTGGCTGTTCCCGCTGTTATTCCCGTGTTATTCCCGTGTTATTCCCGTGTTATTCCCGTTGTTATTCCCATTGTTATTCCCATTGTTATTCCCGTGTTGTTCCCGTGGCTGTTCCCGCTGTTATTCCCGTGTTATTCCCGTGTTATTCCCATGTTATTCCCGTGTTGCTCCCGTGGCTGTTCCCGCTGACCCTCTCGCCGTAGGCCGAGTGCACGTGGAAGTTTCCCAGCTCCTGGTGGTTGTCGTCCTGGTTGTACAAATCCTTCAGCGTCTCCCGCTCCTGGTGCCGGCAGAACTGCCCGGAAACCGGGAATGCGGGAATTTGGGAATGCTCAGGGGGATTTGGGGGGGTCAGGAGGGTTCTGGGGGGTCAGAAGGGGTTTCCAGGAGGATTTTGGGGTGCCCAGGGTGTTTTTGGGGTGCTGAGGAGGTTTTTGGGGTGCCCAGGAGGATTTTGGGGTGCTGAGGAGGTTTTTGGGGTGCCCAGGAGGATTTTGGGGTGCCCCACCTGGCGGTACAGGCTGAGGGCCACGGGCTGGTTCTGCAGGGTCATGAAGAAAGTGCCGCGGTTGAGCTCGTTCTTGAGGTGCAGCACCACCGTGTAAACTGGGACAGCAGGGGGACA